ACAGTTTATCCTATTAATTTTGAAACTATTATCTTGCAAAGTTGTTTTGTAATATATGTATTAAATAGAACAAGAAAAGAGAGAAGTTGTAAATTATCAATGTTTTTGTTTACATTAAATTAATTATTTATTATTTATTTCCCTTACACACCTCTTCAGGCTCAGACCCAACATCGCACGTAATGATCGAGCCATTTTTAGGGTCCTATGGCCACCCTGAAAATTTTAAAGACATATATATGTTATATATATGATTTTTATGCTGGTGTTAATTTTTTATCTTAAAGTGTTTAAATTTTCTGACAAAACCGGCTTTTATGAATTTCGTCTTTTTTTTTTATATATTAATATCATCTATTACCAAAATAGAATATTTTAACATTCAGTTAATTTCATCATCGGCCTTCAATCAACTTTTTTCTGACATATTCCAAGTTTCACAATTCCTTTTCTCTTCTATTATTGCGATCTGCCGTTTTAATCATTCATCGCTCAATTTAATTTCTCCTCTGAGAAGATTACTACTATGTATATTTCAGTCACGATAAGTGAATTTTAAATCCTTTCTTTTTTTCTTTAGTCTGTCCTCGTAGTTTCTAATCTCACTTACGTTTTTTAAAAATATTTTATTAAATACATAAATTTATAATATTGTTGGAATTACCTTTTCATGATCCGTCGCTTTTTTTGCCGTTTGTAAGATAATAATAATATATGTACATTATTTTGTTTTTTAAATTAGATATTATAAAGCAAAAAGAGCTTATAAATGTTGGAATTTTTTTCATTGGTTTTGATATTAAATTTTTTTCATACAATACATGACAGTTTTGAATTGCTGTTTTTTGTTAGAGCGCTCTACTTTGCCTTGTTATTGACTATAAATAAATGAACTTAGTATTCCGCTTCTTTCTGACTAAACTCTGAGGGAAAATTTTTTGTCATAATGTGCGAGACAAGATATGTTCAGCAATATTAGGAAGCCTATACAATCGGGCTTGCACTCAGTAATGATTGTTTAAACGGTATTTGTATTTATTAAGAATATTTGATTCAATGGAAATTATTGATAAAATGAAATTTTTGAAACGACTAAACGATCCACAGTTGTATCGTATGCATTTCAGTGTCCAAGCCTTTTCATTCTTTTTTTTTCTTATTTTTGTAATGTTTAATATAGATCTTTTGTTCTACTTAACAATTTTTATTTTTCTCTCCTCTCTCTGTTATCCCCTCCTTCTGGCTCCCCCCGTGTTTTTTATTTCTAGGTTTCGTGTCAGCTTTGTGAGAGAGAGATAAAATTAACCTGATGTTTGTCGTATTTTAATACATAATTACACATAAAACTCAATTCATTGTTCTATCGTTTCAAATTCATTTATAATAAGTTTCATTGTTCAAAATTTTAGTAGAATATTACATTTAACCGCTTAAACAATCATTTTAGTTAACCTGCTTCTCCAATATTTGAATTTCCTTCCGATCTATAGCCTCTATAAACGCATTCAAAAAACTTCATGTAGTATATAAAACAATTTTAAATAAAACCAATGAAAAAATTTCAAATCTTAATATTCTCTTTTTCTTTATATTAATTTTAAAAAATAATCGTTACTATCTATATTATTATTACAATATAAAAGCTTATTCCAACAATATTAAATTATGTATAAAAATAAATTTTTTTAACGTAAGTTTGGAAATTACATAGAAAATACAAAGGAATAAATTTATGTGACTAAGTTCTTTTAGAAGAATTAATCATATTTTCATAATAAAAGATCCATATAACAGAAGGAAACAGAGTCAATTGTAAACTTGAAATGTCAATAAAAAGTGATTGAAGCGATCGATGAAAAATAATTAATTTTAAAATATTTCTACTTTGGTAGTTATATAAAAATTTAAATTAAAGAACAAATTCATTTAAAAGGGCTTTGTCAGGGGAAATTTTTAACCTTAAGAAAAAAATTTACCAGAATCTAATATACTATTATATATTTTTTAAAATTTTCAGGGTGGCCATGTGCCCTAGAAATGGCTCGATCATTACGTTGCGGAGGTGTGGTCTGAGCTTTGTAAGAGTGTGTTAGGCGCAATAAAATAAATAAATAATTTAATTAATTAAAAACAAAAATATATATTTAACCAAACTTCTTCTTTTTCTTTTTCTTATATTATACATATTTTATGCAAACAACTTGCAGATAATTAGTTTTCAAAATTATAGATAACTGTTGCCATTTTTAGATATAAAGATAACGTTTACGGTACAGATAATTTGCTAATAAGATTACAAAATTAACTTAAATCTACCAACACAAATTGAGTGCGTTTTTGATTTGGTTAAATAACTGACAAAATATAACTGCTTATTTTATCTGTTTACGACAGAAGACAACAGGAAATTTATATTTAGAAAAGACATACTTTCTGAGAAACTTTTGCAAATCGGTTTGTTAGGTTAGGTATTGACCAAAAGAAGACCAGAAACTTCATGCAAAAACAATCTCGGCAGCCGCAGCGAGTCTCACTGTTTAAATTAAAAGATTCCTTTCTAGAGCGTCAGGTCATTTCAAGTTGTTTGATTTAGTGATAACCGGCCATGTTTCTGAATGTCAAACAAGGTTTCTCAGAATAGAAACACGTTCTTTTTATCCCTCAGCCATTTTTATTTTTTTTAAATTTTAATAAAAAAAATATAACATTTTCCATAAGTTTCGACATTAATTTCTGAAATTCTCAAAAATAAAATTTACTTTTTTATGCAAACGTTTTTTTAAAAGATTTTTGGGGGTTTGAAAATTTTAAAACTATTTAGTATTATATTTATTTCTGTTCGTATTTTTTTATTGAGTTTGGATTTCAGATTGAATTTGCCAAATAAGAAAATAATTAAAATTACTAAAAGAAAAAAAAATTTTTTGCAGCTGTTTGCAACCTAGGGTAAATTGTTAGACAAAATTATAACTGTTACTCGTTTTTATTAGAAAGATTAACAAAAAATTTCACTTACCTTTATATGTAAATAAAGTAACTAACAATTTCTTCCTGGAAAAACGTTGCAGGAATACACCGTGGTTGGATTTGATTTGGATTGACCAAAAATAAGACAAGGAAACACGAAGCTCCAAAAGCATAGCAGCAATCATCTCTTATTTGGAAATTGGAGCAGCTGATCGTTTAAATTAAAGATTCTCGTTCCAGAGTTGGTAGTTTCCATCAAACTTTGTTATTGATTTCAATGAATCAGCAGTTTCTATTCCAAATCAAAATTGGATAATCATTTCTTTGCTCGCAAGCCCCAATTTTCATTTTTTTATTTAAGGAAATTATTAATAATATATTTTTTATAATTTGGTAAACAAAAATGAAATAATCCAATATATGATTTTTACCTTCTTTTTATAAATATTTTCTTAGGGTTTTAGTTTCACCCTGGGCCTTTAGTCAGATCTCCAATAATTATTGTTGATTATAAAAATCAAAATCTAATAAGTCAACACACATTTATCCACCGCCTCGGTATTCTGAAAGTTCCACCCGGGCTTCCAACTAAGTCGGCTTCCCCAAATACTGCAGGGGCCAATTGTAAGGGTTTGACCTGCTCTCCTAAGCGTATACATATTTCCCTATATACTTAAGAAATTTAAACTCAGATCATGATTAAGGATGATAAAGTAGTTTCCAACCGCTCTTTTTATCTCCAAACTATACATTGATCACAGCATTACCGCCATGGCTGTTGCTTTTAATTAAATGGGTTTATTTTTGCAGGCCGAAAATTTAAAATTTCGCTTTGTTGAAAACCCCTGAGGATTAAAATACAGTACTTGTCGGTTAAGTTTTAATGCTCAAATCGCTAATTTTTACAGAATTATTTTCTTTATAATTCTAATTACGCTTTCTGGGTCAATTTGGATTTTATTATTCTTCAAAAGATGGGTGGCTTTACACAGCATTTTAAATAGTCAAATTTAATTTTCTTTTAAAATGATATATTATATAGTATTTATATACTATATTTTTATCCCCACACTTCACCTTTTCGGAGGTACAAAGGGCTTGGTCCTGGTAGAGTTTAGTTGCGTGAGGATCGAACCTAATCGAGATCTAAGCCATGATGATCCAACCCCCTGCCGAAATACTTTTGCCCAGCGGCATATTATTGTTGTTTATTTTTAACTTATCTAATTAGAGTAAATTATTCAACATAGGTCGAAGTTGATATGAACTATTTATTTAGACGTAAATTAGGGCCTGAGATTGAGGGATTGTTTAATTTCATGGTTGTCTTTTATTGTTGACAAATTGATATAATGTATTATTTATTATAAAAAATTTACACAGATTTATCGAACTATGAATTTAATTAATTTTATACCTAAACGCTCACCAAGGTTCCCATTTCTTAGTACCCAGAATTAACTCAATTGTGAATTTAGCTAATTGCCCTTACATATATCTCCATCCCTAATTTCTTATTTCTTCAATTTAATCTCTCCATGGTGGCACTTCAAGCATTTTCTCCTCTTAATTTTAATTCTACTTTTCTAGGGTATATTGAATTCTTCGAGTTTCTATTTTTTATATGTTAAAGAGTCTTATATTAAAGTTCTCGACGAGTCACAATTAGAACGTAATATATATTATATATATATATATATATATATTTTTATCCCCACTCACCTTTCGGAGGTAAAGGGACTGGTCCGGTAGAGTTTACGTTGCGGAGGATCGAACCTATGATCTAAGCCATGATGATCAACCCCGCAAATACTTTTTGCCACTGCATATTATGGTTATTTTAACTTATTATTAGAGTAATTATTCACATAGGTCGAATTGATATTGAACATTATTAGACGTAATAGGGCCTGAGATTGAGGAGTAATTCATGGTTGTCTTTTTATTGTGACAAATTGTTAATTATATTATTATAAAAATTTAACAGATTATCGAACTATAATTAATTAATTTTATACCAAACGTCACAAGGTTCCCATTTCAGTACCAGAATTAACCAATTAATTTAGCTAATTGCCCTACATATACCCATCCCTAATTTCTATTCTCAATTTATCTCTCCATGGCACTTCAACATTTTCTCCTCCTAATTTTAATCTCTTTTCTAGGTATATTGATTCTTCGAGTTATTTTTTTATATGTTTAAAGAGTCTTATATTAAGTTTGACGAGTCACAATAGAACGTAATATAATATAATCACAAAGACATTTTCTAATATAGTGTTTCTATTAGAAAATATAGTTGATTATATTATATCTTATCAAACATAATCATAATTGTATTTGTTTAATAATAATAATAATTAATATTACCATTATAATTAACTTGAATGATTTTTTTTTTCCCCTTCAGGTGCTGAAGCAAAAATAAGGGAAATCACCAACTTAAGAGAAGTCACCATAGTAAACAAATGTAACACGACTATATGGCCTGGATTTATACTAGCAACTGGTCAAGTAAATGAAGAAGGTTTTGAGTTAAAGCCTGAAGAATCTGGAATAATTAAATTTAACGTTGGAGTTGCCCTTATATGGGGACGTAAAGGGTGCTCATTTGACCCGTCCGGCCGTGGGAATTGCACTTCCGGCGATTGCGGTGGCCTACTAAGATGTGTCAAACAACATTTTCCCGTGCCACCGGTCACATTAGTGTCGCTTTTTCTTAATATTGAAATGGATATGTATGGAATTAGCCTTGCAGGTGGTTTCAATATACCGATATCTATATTACCTTATGGTAATAGCTCTAATGAATGTAAGTCAGTAAGTTGCAATTCAGACTTGAACAAAGCTTGTCCTGAAGAGCTACAAGTGAGAGTAAATGGTCGGACCGTAGCATGTAAAAGTGAATGTTTAGCATTCAAGACGCCTGAATTTTGTTGTATCGGTAATGGTGGTTATGGTACGTCTAAAACTTGCAGGATCACAAATTCTTCGAGAGTGTTCAAGGAAACTTGCCCTACAGCTACTGTTCATGGTTATGGTCAAGAAATGTTTACGTGCTATAGATCTAATTACTTAATTAGGTTTTGTTGAAATTTCATGTTGGTTATGTTTTCATGTGATTTATACAAATAAAATGAATAAATTTGTGTTTTGTTTTTGTAGATTGAAAAAAAAATAAATACAAACGTGCATCGCATGATACAATGGGGTTTGGTGGAAGTAGAATCAATAAAACATCAGTTAATATTCTCTCTCCCATTTTCCTGTTTCTCTGTTTTCCCTCATTTTCTTAGCCTTTCCCTCACTTTCTCTCTTCACAAACACCAAAAGTCAGGTGTTAAACCTAAGACAAGTCGTCCCAAATTCATTTAACTAATACTCAAAAACCCGCCCGGTTCCATCTCTACTCATGACCTGTTGAACAGTTAAACTAGTACAAGCCAATATATATTCAAAGAGGATAAAGAACTCCTTCCCACATACGCAAAGCAGAAAAAATAAGTCTGGCGCCATTCTTTCCGCTTAGTGTGAATTAGAGTACCCAAAATTCCGAACTCACACAAATTATAATTTGTTAGTCATTGAAGTAGGAACTAAAATATTTGAATTATCAATACAATCATTTACATGTATAATATTACACAAACAATTTTTCAGGTTTTGATCAAGCATCATAGGCCATTTTTAAGGGTTCAGCTACAGTTTCATTCTTCATATACTATTATCTGCCAAGTACCAGATATCGATTACAATTCAAGTATTAGTCATTTCAATAAGCCATTCTTCACATTAGCACTTGTACCTGAAGAACCATGTCAGTCAAATTTATGAAGAATGAAATCCATTCTCCATATTATTAGCTATAATTACATAATTAAACATTGACATGGTTAACAAAGGTAAGTGCATATCCAACATTGTTGATGGGAGTTAGGCAATTACGAGAAATTTTCCTCCTCATAACCACCCTAGTTCAAATGTCACATCATAGGGCCTACCTTGATCAGTTTGAACCTGATACATCTGACACAACGCCAAAAACACAATACGCAATTTAGGTTAGAGAAAGAGGTTTCAGCACTTTTTCCTGAGTACATCACAGATCATTCCTAATGAATAATGCTCCATGAAAACAATTAAAAACTATAATTTCTATACAGCACACTAGGCTTACTCCTAGAATGCTTGATTTTGCAGACAATGATAAAACAGAAATAACTTCGGTATTTACACTTATGCAGTACACAGAAATCCGCCTTACCAACAATTATTTATATTTGCCCCCTCAATAAAAACAGTTATTTATATTTGACTTTCAAACTTTTGGACCTTAACCTGGATATTTTCAAACTGTGACTTCAATTGTGTAATTTAACATACGCAAAACAATCTTATTCTGTCATTTGTACATACATTCTATACTTCAAATTCATTATACAAACAAGCTTAATAATTAAATCACAGCCAGATCAGAAAGCAAAGATCTCTCCCATGAGACAAACTCATATTTAAGCAATGAAAAGAAAGACCATGAATTCAGAGGGTTATACCATTTAAGAAAGTTGTCCAGCCAATGTAGGTCCGAATTAGCTCTACGCAAGTCTCTTGTTTAAAAAGGCAGAAAGAAAAGAAAAGGAAAACAAAAACCAATTCCACCTCTTATTTTAGTGTGTGCTTCCGGAGGAGCACGCATCAAAGAAGAAACTTTGAGCTTGATGCAAATGGCTAAAATATCTTCTGGTTCATATGATTATCAATCAAATAAAAGTTATTTTATGTATCAATATTCTTCAACTTTGGCATGTTTGAAGAGGGTCTGAAATTTTGCAACTTCACTAAATGCCCCTGCCCGAAAGAGTCATGGAAGGATCCAAAACGATCCACAACTACTTCATGAAGGGAATTCCATTTGGTAAAAAAAAAAAAAAACATAGGGAAGAGAAAGCATTACACAAAGCTATGAAAAAAAATCAAAAAGTCAGCAGGTTCAATTGTTATGCTAATTCGTACTCCTAATGTTCTCTTGAATGCAAACTGTTATGTAACTCTATCCTGAATTCTAGTGTTGTTTCTTGAACAGAAATTTTCCAAAAATTGAAGAGAATAACAGAGATTCAGAAGACCCACTAACCCATGGGAAATTTAAGAACCAGCATGGTAAGGAATTAAAGAAACTTAAAATCTAAAAACGAAAGCTCATATATTTAGGTTCTGGCTCATTTCCTTATCCAGTAATCTAAAAATCAAAACCACAAACAATTAATCGATCAAGAAGATCTGATAAGTTGCCAAAACAAGAGATTATTCACTGATATTCCAAAAATATACTACAAAAACACAAACAAGAAGAGAGCAATTACAAAAATTTCACAAAATTATAAAGCGTGATCAGATCAATTACAGATTTCTTAGATCATATCAAGAGCTCACCTATCATTATCGCTTGCTATCGTAATCAACGATCTCAGAATCCGTGACAGATCTCGAGTGCTGCACTATGGACCGTCCGATCGAATTGATCCAGTCCTCCTTCTCTTTCTCCGAATCGGCGATGAAGTACATCGTCTCGGTCCTCGTCGACAGCTCGAAAGCATATTGTTTGTTTAGCACGTCCTCCGCTCCCTTCACTGTTAGGCACGTAGCCACCGGGATAACACCTCGTGGCTTCGACGCGCGAGTGACTGTGGATTCCTTGAACCAGAAGAGCTTACCTTGTTTTAGAACAAACCAGCGGCGTCTCCAGGTTTTAATGTACTCGCCTTGCTTAGTTAGCCAGCCAGTTCGCTCTGGATTGGACCAGAACTCCACTCCGTCGTAGTCTGTGTGGTTCGTTTGGGTTTGGGTTAGGGCCGTTGTCGCGGCCCGCCAGAGAGAAGCCATAGACTAATCGGTGACAGTGGCGTTCGAATATGGGAGGAGAGAGGGTACTGGATTCGCGGTAGAATCCAGGGAGGAGAGAACAGAGATGGGTCACTGTTACTCAATTGGCCGGACAGAAATGAGGGATTTTTTTATTACTCTATTTATTACTTTTCTTTTTTTTTAACTTTACTCTATTTATTATTATCTTGGATTTTTGTAAGTTAAAAGAATTTTAGTTAGAAGGGAACTAGGACAACTTTTTCTTACCTAATTTGAATTGGTTTAGTTAAGTCTTTTATTAATTGAACAAACTTTTAGTTTGATTTATTTAGTTAATTTTATTTAGTTTGTTAGCTAATTTCGTTTGATTTTGATTTGAAAATATTAAAATATTAAAATTCAGTTTTTAAATTCAATTTATAGAAGACCAAACAAACCTCGTACAATGTCTATAATTAATAATACAAACTTTACTTTGTTCATATTATTAGACATTAGTTTTAGTTATTTGTATAAATACATTGTCCTGAATGATTTATTTTTATTTGATAAGTGCATTTTAAGACCTGATAACATATTCAGGTCTGAAGCTCCTTTATGTAATAAAAAAAATTTTTGAATAATGCTTGAGATTATAAAATTACTGCAAAATAATTATTTTACATATAAATTTAAGTCCAGGCAAGCCAACTATAGCTATTTTACATATAATATTCTACAATATTTGACAAACCAAATGAGACCTTATATAAATAACAATCTTAACGAGGATTGCGAAGAAGCTTATCTCTAATGGAACAAAGCTGTGCAGCAACATCAGCCATGCTCATTCGCTCTCTTGGCAATTCTACAGAACAAGCAACTCCAATTCCAACAATGGAGATCAAGAGTTCCATGATTCTATTGCTTGTCCCTACTTCATGTACTTCTTGAAGAAGAATTGGATCTAAAATTTCAGTCACTTTAACTGGTAAAGCTAACCTGGAAAACTTATGAAGATCCAATCCTTCTTTGAACATTTCGTCAGTAGGCCTCTTTCCTGTAAACATCTCCAGCAAGAGAATGCCATAGCTATATGCATCACCGTATGTTGATACTTCACTTCCTAGCCCATATTCTGCAGAACTTGTAAAAAAGTTATTCAAGAATGGGTTTGTATTTATAGAAAGTGTTCAATCAATCCAAGACATGAGATTTCTAGCAATATATATATATACACACACACACACTTGCCTGGAGGAGCATATCCAATAGTTCCTCTTAATCCACTAGCAGTTGATTGATTAGCAGGAACATTAGAAATGCTTTGCAGAAGAAACTTTGCTAGGCCAAAATCACTTATATGACCAGTAAGTTCATCATCAAGAAGAACATTGCTCGGTTTGAGATCACAATGAACTACTGGAGTTTCGCAATGTTGATGGAGATACTCAAGTGCAGAAGCAACGTCAATGGAAATAGTTAATCTCTGCATAAGATTTAAACTTTTTGGTGTATTATTATTGCCAACTTCAATTCCAGTAGATGGATGCAACCATTCCTCCAGGCTGCCATTAACCATAAACTCGAACACTAGAGCCTTGAAATCATTTCCTTGGTAATCCATACTTGAACATGCAGTTAGTACTTTCACAAGATTTCGATGTCTGATATTTTTCAAGGCTTCACATTCAGCAATAAAGCTATTAGCTGCTCTATGCAGCTGCAGATTAAGCACCTTAACTGCAACAATTGACCCACCTTCTTGAAGAATTCCTTTATATACAGAACCGAAACTACCAACACCAATTAAATTTTCTGAGGAGAACCCATTTGTAGCGTCGTGGAGATTTCGATAAGACACTCTCAAAAGTGAGTCATCAGTAGAGGAGGAAGTAACTGCAAGATTATTTTTCTGTCTCTTCCTTAACATAAAAATGAAACAGAACATCAAAGCTGCTCCTAAAAGCCCTGCTATTGTTGCAATTATGACCTTGAGTTTGGTAGTCAATCTCCTGCTCTTAGATATTTTAACACAAGTAGGTAGCTGCAATTCTGGAATGCCTCCACAGAGTTTACTGTTTCCCATGACTGAAATAGCACTCAAATTTCTGAATACTCCTTTCATTGGAACTACGCCTTCAAAATCATTGAAAGATAAGTTCAATTTAATCAACAAAGCTAAATGAGACAAAAATTCCGGAATTTGGCCTGTTAAATTGTTGTGAGAAAAATTTATAACTTGAAGGGCTTTTAATGCACTCAAAGATGAAGGGATAGGCCCTCGGAAATAGTTATCCTCCATGGATAATATTTCCAAGCTCAAACAACTACCAAGGCTACTTGGAATTTCCCCAGATAACATATTTTCATAAACAAGCAACACTCCAAGGTTTTTCAAGTTTCCAACATCAACAGGAAGTGGACCACTTAATTTATTCAGAGACAGATCAAGACCTATTGATAAGGAAGAAAGGCCAATAACTTGTGGAGGAATGGAGCCACTAAGATAGTTACCAGAAAGATCAAGAAGTAAAAGATTTTTGCATTCACTCAAACTTAAAGGGATGGTGCCGTGAAGACTATTGTCACTTAACCGCAGATAGGTTAAAAGTGTTGAATTACCCAAAGAGTGAGGAATTTCTCCAGAGAAATTGTTATTTTGTAAATAAAGTAACTCTAACTTTTGCAGCTTTCCAATATCAACGGGAACATTACCTGAGAAATTGTTGTTCCACATTTCAAGATATTGTAGGTTAACAAGATTGGGAATCCCTGCAGCTAGTATACTTCCATGTATCATATTATTATCTACTGCCAATATTTCAAGAGCAGTTGACAAGTTACCGACACATTCAGGTAGAATTCCTTGGAAGTTGTTGACATTTAAAGCTAAGAGCCGTAATTCAGTAGCATTGGTTAAAGAGCATAAGAAGCTCAAGTCATTTCCAAGATGATTAGCAGAGATACTTAGAACTTGAAGTCGCGGAATGTTTTTGAAAGACGGAACTTCTCCATAGAATTCATTCTGTGGAAGCTGAAACAGTTCCAGTTTAGAGGCATTGGATATAGAAACTGGAATAGACCCAGAAAAATTGTTCAATCCGATACCAAAATATTGAATATTCGGAAGAGTTATACCAATGGTGGATGGAAGACTCCCATCAATTTGATTATCACCAGCACCAAATTTTGTAAGCAAAGAGAGGTTAAAAAGTGAAGGAGGTATAGTTCCAGACAATTTGTTACTAGTTACAAGAAATTCTGACAGATTTGTTAATCTGCCTAAAGATTCTGAAATTTTCCCACCTAAGTTGTTGTCACCTAAAAAAATTGTCTCAACGGAAGACAAATTACCAAAAGAAGAAGGTATAGCTCCTGTCAGGTTGTTGTGATTCGTCGAAATGATTATAAGCTTTGACAAGGAGCCAAATAGGCCTGGAATTTCACCTACCAGCTGGTTCCAACCAATCTGTAAATTAATCAGGTTCAAGCAGGAAGATATATTAGAGGGGATTTTGCCACTAAATGAGTTGTTTGATAGCACCAATTGTTGTAATCTTCTTAGGCGGCCAATTTCTGAGGGGATTTCTCCATTGAAGCTATTATTTTGAAGATCTAATATTCTTAGAAAGCTCAAATTTCCAATGTGAGGTGACACTGAGCCTGCTAGCTTCAAGGAACTTAAATCTAACATAATGACTCGCTGGTGCAGATGACCGCATGTAACACCATGCCATTGACAGAAATGAGTGGTGGCATTCCATGACTGCATAACATCAAAAGGATCACTAGTTATTTTGGACTTGAGACTGAGAAGAGCTACTTGATCTGTTTCGTTTCCCTGGCCGATAGATACAAAGGTTGATGAACATAGGCCAAAGAACGAAAACAGAAAAATGGTAGCAGTGATGGAAAAAGATGAGATCATGTGGCAAAACATCAGCAATATCTGTATTATATTGATTGTAAAATTGGAAGTTGTTCAACCTAGAAAGGAGATGGAAATTCAAGGAAGGTTTAGAAATGCTGGTTTATTCTAGCCGAGTCATCTTTGTTACAATATATATAGGCATTATTAGAAACTCAAACCCAAATAAAAAAAGAAAGCTTTTGACAAGAATATTTTGATTGGTATTGCAGAGGACTAGAATTCAAAACCTCTCACTTTCTACCTTCTTAAAAAAAGTGAGCTGATCAAGCAAGCCACGTCTGATTGACAATATAAATAATCTATTTTAATAGATATTTGTAACCATTTCAAGTATGAACTTATTTAGAGAAAGAAAATCAAATTTCAAATTCTGTCGTGAACATTTAAAAAGGATTGCTGTTCACTTTTCATCCAAAAGCTACTATTTAGCCACAATGCCAAACAAACTTTAAGTACATATGAACAAGGTCATCCTATTCTGATTCCATTAATACATGCTTCTATAGTTACCTCAAAGTCTTATTCAACCAATTTGGTAATGGGCTTGTTTATTCAAGCCACTAAATAGAATAAAACTTTGATTTCTCCAAAAAAGATTTGATTGCACACCACCAATTTCCTAACCTAACTTGTTAATGTGAAAATGGAAGATAATTCAGAGCAGTAATTGTCTATGAGGTGATTGATAGAACATACGAAAGCGAAAGATGCTGGGATAGGACAGTACATGGTTGCAATTGGGAGTCCTTGTCTAATCTTGTAGGATCTGCAGAGTACAAGTTAGTGGAATAAACACGGATTCAACTATTGCACGAAAAAAAAAAGAGCGCTAAATTGTGACCGATCAAAATATAAGAAATCGGTAGCTAAATGGATTCAGCAATCGATTTGCGACGGATGTTAATCGATCGCAAAAATGCTCGTCGCAAATAATTTTGTGACCGATTAGCCGGTCGCAAAATTATAGATATCAGTCGCTACTTTTTGTCGTGTTTTCCTTCTAGAAGCTTGTCGAAAATCGGTTACAGAAAGTGTCGGTCGCAATTATGAAAAGCGGTCATAAATCAGTCACAAATTCTGAAAGTGATTGGTTGGTGATCTGTCGCAAATTTAAATTTAACGGTTATAATTTGGTTGCTGTTCGGTCGCCAGTCAGTTGCAAAATACAATATCAGGCAAAAAAAATAATTTAATAATATTTAAAACCATAATTTTTTCCACCTGTGAAAAGTCAACATATATATACATCACAAGCACAAGCATCATCACAATCTCGATTGGTCCGCATTTTTTTACGTAATTAACATTTTGTTTATAAATGACAAATTATATATAATTGCATTAGTTTTAAGTCATCATTGAAACAGACCAAAAGTAATGTTCTATTTACATTTCTAACTTACTAAGGTTATTTCTATAATAAGGGTAACATATATGTTGTAAACTCACTAAAGTTATTATTTCTAATTATATATATATATGTAAACTTAGTATAATATTGTAAACTCACTAAAGTTATTATTTCTAATTATATATATATATGTAAACTTAGTATAATATCAGTAAGGGTACGATTCTTCATATTCAGTTTTTTTAAAAAAATTTCGGCATAACATAATCAAATCTCAAGTCAAAATACACTCACATAAACATGTCGATATAATCCCAACATTTTCCAAAGTCAAAATGGCCACTACTAAGTCTCCAACTCAAACGCATTATTCACGTGATTTCCACTCAAATCAAAACACAAATCAACATAAAGTAATTTCAAATAAATAAATTTCAATACATCATCACAAATTAGGTTTTTTAAATTTGATTAGTAAGGTTTTTTAAATTTGATTAGTATAAATTTCGATTACTATTAAATTACACTCATTAAATTTTTTTAGTTACAAATTACAATTATTTCAATACTATAACTTATTTCAATACTATAATTAGTGTTATAAATTACAGTCATTAATTTTTTTTGTTACAAATTACAATTATTTCGGTACTATAACTTATAAAATCTATGATTTTCTCGTTACTAATCTCCTTGATTTCACGACATGATGTGTGTATTTTGACGATCTATTGATACATGATTCTAGTTATAAAATCAAAGTTAAAATTTTTTATTTATTGTTCGATGATGTATCAAACAACTTGAATTTAAAGTTAATAATTATTGAAAATTTTAATTTAATAATTATTTAAGTTTGAATCATGTAAATCAAATACACTTGAGCTTTAAAATTGGTCATGTCAGTGATAACAGGCAAATAATGGTTAGTGAGGTAGGATAGAACCATGGGTTTGACAGTAAAAAAAAATTAGTACAATTTGAATATAATACATTTCTCAAAAAAGAAAAAAAAAAAACAAAAAACCAGAAAATATCAATAGCTGTGTATCAAAGGGAAAAAGAAAATCTGGGGAAAAAGAAAATCTTACATTGGTTTTACTAAAACCACAGTTAAAAATTCATTACTCCAAAAAAAAAAAAAACAAAAAACCAGAAAATATCAATAGCTGTGTATCAAAGGGAAAAAGAAAATCTTACATTGGTTTTACTAAACACAGTTAAAATTCATTACTCCAATTCTTACATCAAATTCAAATGACAGGCCAAACATGATAATATCAAAAGGTTAAGCAAAATTATTTCTGCATATATCCAATAGAAAACACTCTCTCAAATCTTTGCGCAGAAGAAAGAGTTTTCAATAACTTGTTACTATTTTTTTTTTGTTACAAATTACAGAGACTAACGCGACCTACCTGACTAGGCAAGCGAAGGTGTAATCTCCGGCGAGAGGGGCTTCTTCAGCGACCAGTGCTGCAACAGAGAGGAGGTGGTGGCTGGAAACGGCGCTGTAACAGAGAGGAGAAGAAGAAGAAGAAGCTGCTGTGCTTGCGTAAGGCGACCAAGGGGTTATAAAGCCCTATTTTTTTGCGATCGACAATTCGTTAAAAAATCGATCACGATTTTTAATCATCCGATGTCGTAATCAGTAGCAAAACCACAGGTCTCAAATCGGTCACCAATCCCTTGCAAACAGGAAAGTAAATTTGGCATTGAATTGCAGCAACTGTGAAGTGGGTGGCAAATCTGTTGCAAAGTGGAAACCAAACTGGCGGGAGTTATTAGCGCTATAGTTAGCGACGGATCTGCTCGCGGTCACAAGTCCGTCGCAAATTTTGTCACCTCTGCTCGCGGACTTGTGACCGTCGCAAATTTTGTCACCGTATCGCAAATCCGTCAGGCGGATATTCAATCTCCCAATCATCGCAATTGGTCGTAATATCTTCACGAGTCAGTCACAGAACCGGTCGCAAAAGTGCTTTTTTTTCTGTAGTGTTGGGGCTTGAAGATCATAGCTCAAAGTTATCTTCCATTTGGCTAATAGATTTGAGCTTCGTAAGTGAAAGTAGAATGATAGAAAGATACCTCAATCATAAATGGAAAAGGAGAACCTTTAAAACTTTAATTATTTTGTCATAAATGAAAAGGGAGAATCTTTAAAGGAAGTGACCCAATTGTCAATCTTCAGTTCACATCTCATCTGCTCAAATTATTAAACAAAATAGTAAACAATTAACAAGGTGTAGAATGAGAAACAGATGACCAAAAATTAACAAAAATTTACTGGGAAGGTTCATGACTAATATTGCTCGAGCGTGCATTTCTTCTTCTGGAGTTGTTTAACCTATCTCTGATCAAACAAAGCTTTATGGCAACATCACCGATGTTCATCCGGTCTATTGGTGATTCAGCAGAACAACAAATTCCAATTTCAAGTATGGAGATCAAACATTCCATTATAATTTTATTAATTGATTGGCCTCCTTCTTGAATGAGAATTGGATCAACTATTGCACTCACTCCATTTGGAAAAGCTGACTTTACGAATTTGTGAAGATTCCAACCTTCTTTAAACATGTCATCCGTAGGCCTCTTCCTGGTAAACATCTCCAACAAGAGTATGCCATAACTATAGACATCACCTTGTTTTGAGACCTCACTTCCCAGTCCATATTCTGCAATTTTTCAGTGAGACATTGTAAAGAATGGCATTGTAATCCTTCTAACATGAATAAAGGGGAAAAAAAACAAAAAAAAAAAAAGGAGGAGAACAATTGCCTACCTGGAGGAGCATAACCAATAGTTCCTCGTAATCCAGCTGAACTTGATTGAGTAGTAAATTTATTTTGGATGCTATGAGAAAGGAATTTTGCTAGCCCAAAGTCACCAATATGGGCAGTCATTTCATCATCGAGAAGAACATTGCTTGGCTTGAGGTCGCAATGGACTATTGGAGTCCCAGAATGATGATGAAGATACTCAATTGCAGAAGCAACATCAATTGCAATGTTTATTCTCTGAATTAGATTTAAAATATCATGTCCCTCTTGCTTTCCATTTATTGCAACAACAGATGGATGCAACCATTCCTCGAGACTTCCGTTGACCATGAACTCATAAACTAGTGCCTTAAAGTCATTGCCTTTATAATCCACACCTGAACATGCAGTGACAATCTTTACCAAATTTCTATGTCTGATATTCCTCAAGGCTTCACATTCCGCAATGAAACTCTTAGCTGCACCGTGATACTGAAGGTTAAGCACCTTAACAGCTATCATTTGTCGGCCTTCATTAAGAATTCCTTTATATACAGATCCAAAACTACCACTACCAATTAAATTAGCTGATAAAAACCCATCAGTGGCCTTATGGAGATCTTTATATGACATCATCAGAACTGCTAGACGAGAAATTTCTGAATTGGATGAAGCAGGTTTCTGTCTTTTCTTTTTAAACCACAAAAGAAATAGAGAAGACAGTGCCACAAAAAATGCTCCTGATATTCCTGCTATGGTAGCAATGATTACCTTTAGTTTTCTTTTATTGGATCTTTTCAAGTGGCAAATAGGCAGCTGGAACTCAGGTATGCCTCCGCACAGCTTGTTGTTTCCCATAACTGAAGTAATGCTTGCATTCTTGAAGACTCCACCAATTGGCACTATGCCTTCAAAATCATTGAAAGATAAGTCCAAACTGAGCAATGAATTAAAGCTAGCCAAAAATCCAGGAATTTTCCCGGACAAATTGTTGTGAGAAAAATTTAGGAATTGAAGACCTCTCAATGAACTGAGAGAGATAGGAATGGATCCGTGGAAACGGTTATCCTCCATGTAGAGGTACTCTAGGCTAGTGCAGCTCCCAAGACTGCTTGGTATCTCACCAGATAACATGTTGTCAGAAACATCTAAGGTACCTAAGGATTTCAAATTGCCTAATTCTGTTGGAAGGGAGCCAGTGAAGTAGTTTTGTGCAAAACCAGCATGAATTGACAAGGATGAGAGGCCAATAACTTGGTGAGGTATGACACCACTAAGATTGTTTCGAGAAAAATCTAGCAGTTGCAAAGATGTGCAATTAGCTAGACTTGAAGGAATGGTGCCCTGAAGGTTATTACCAGCAAAATGAAGTCTATTCAACTTTGTAAGGTTTCCAAGAGAGGACGGAATAGGTCCAAAGAAATTGTTCTCATTGAAAATCATAACAACTGCATTTTGCAGATTTCCAATACTCTGGGGAATCATACCTGAAAGCTTGTTATTATCCACTTCTATACGTGCCAAGTTGACCAGATTTCCAATACTAGTTGGAATGCTTCCGGATATTTGATTTTCACCTAGAGACAATTCTTGAAGATTGGGTGACAAGTTGCCAATGCATTCAGGTAAGGACCCTCCAAAGTTATTTTGGCTAATATCCAATCCTTGCAAAATGCTGGAATTAGTTAAAGAACAGAGAAATCTCAAATCATCAACTTGTACATTTCCAAGATGATTGTCTTCAATATAAACCAGATCAACATTCAGTGTCTCTAAAGAAGGCACTTTTCCTTTGAGATTGTTTCCTTGCAACTGAAGACGGAATAAATTGGAAGCATTAGATATTGAATTGGGAATGGGACCAGTAAATTGGTTATAACCAAAACTCAGGATCTGAAGATTTGGAAGAGAGGTGAACAAATCGGCAGGAAGAAATCCTGTAAAATTGTTGTCTCCTATATCCAGAACTGTAATAGAAGAAACATTGAAGACTGTGGAAGGGATAAAGCCGGACAATTTATTTTCAGGGAGGCCTAAAAATGTAAGACTCTTAAGTTTTCCAAAAGCATACGGAATATTTCCAACAAAGTTGTTATAAGCTGCGGCAAAAATAATAAGAGAAGACAAGTTTCCAAGAGAATGAGGGAGAGTTCCTGCTAGATTGTTCATTTGTATATAAAGAAACTGAAGCTTCGAGAGATAGCCAAGCTCGACAGGAATCTTTCCTATCAGATGGTTGTTATAAATAATTAAATAAATAAGGTTAGAGCACCTAGAAATATTGGATGGAATCTCACCAGTGAGTGAATTATTGTTTAGGAATAGTCTTTGTAGTCTTCGCAGGCTACCAATTTCAGGAGGAATATTATGGGTGAAGCTATTGTTTTGAAGGTCTAGTACCTTTAGAAAGCTCAAATTACCAATGTATGGGGATATGGTGCCCGCAAGTTTTGAGGAATTGAGGTTTTGTAGTCTTCGCAGGCTTACCAATTTCAGGAGGAATATTATGGGGAAGCTATTGTTTTTGAAGGTCTAGTACCTTAGAAAAAGGAATATTATGGGTGAAGCTATTGTTTTGAAGGTCTAGTACCTTTAGAAAGCTCAAATTACCAATGTATGGGGATATGGTGCCCGCAAGTTTTGAGGAATTGAGGTCCAATTCTGTGACCCTCTGGTGCCGGCGGCTGCAAGTAACCCCATACCACTGGCAGAAGTCTAAGGTGTCATTCCATGAGGTCATAACCCCAAAAGGGTCAACTATTCCAGCCTTGAAGTGAAGCAAGGCTAGTTCATCAGTCTCATTTCCAGGAGCTGAGTATGTTCCTGTGACAAACAACAATAGACAAACAGTAGCATAGATGAAGAAACATGAGCAGAGGTATAAATAGCCCATTGCTTTATAGTTAAAAGGTTATCTCTACAATGAAACTGGGTCTTTTTTCAGTAATTCTGAGAACTGAAGGATTAATGATTTAGCTATTCAGGTCACTAAAGCCCATATTATACTGATAGCTTGGTTGAAATGCACTAGCAAAGAGAGAATAGATTATATATATTGGTAGAATAAGTCAACTAGCTAAGAAAGATAGGAATTTGAAAAATACCAATTTAGCAGTGGAGCACTTTGAAGCCTGAGAAGACTCCATCCCCATTAAATGACTATTGAAGCAACTCTTGACAAAGTTCTTTATTTTTTCAATTTAATGATAAGTGGGAACTCACTTTATAGTAGCCATCACTACTGAATATTTAAAACTAGGACAGTACAAAAACAAAAGTCAAGAACTTGGAAAATCAAGACAAAGACTTAGTCAGCGTTAAAAGAAGCCAGACTAGCAATTGAACATTCTAAAGAACAAGTTGATAGACTTGAGAAGTTGGAAATATTATCATTAACAACCACAACCAAAGTTGGAAATATTATCATTAAACAACCACAAACCACCTTTATTGGCTTGCAATACAGTAAATATTAAATCAGGAGAAACTTCACCAAAAGCTTTTTTTGGAATATTTTAATAATAACCATCATTTTTTTGATTATTTTACTTTTAATAATATTGAAATCAAATTAAACAGAAAAGGTTGGAAATCAGTGCATAATAAGGGATTAAAGCATTTGATTTTATTAAATTAAGCAAGAATCTTAAGTTTGCTCCAAAATTTAAGGCAATTTTAAATTTTGCAAACCAAATTTCATTTAAACTGAATTCGTTGAATTTCTGAAAAAACAGCAGATGCGCAGCTTAATAAATAAAAGCAAGGCTGTATTATAATAGTTGCAAAACTAGAAAAACTATATGTTATAAACAGCCACAACCCACGACCACTGAATGCTGCAAAACCAATTAATAAAAATTCAGCATCTAATTTAGCAATTAAAAGCATTGGTGGAATTTAAACTACATCTAAATTTCTTTCTTTCCAGAAATAAACATTAACAAAGAAAGTTTCATGGCATCATTAACAAAGAAAGTTTCATGCATGACTAGAATTGCTTGAGCTTGAATTTCTTCCCTGGGAGTCTTTTAACTTATCTCTGATCAAACAAAGCTCTATGGCAGCATCGCTGATGTCCATCCGCTCTCTTGACAATTCAGCAGAACAAGAAACTCCAATCCCAAGTATGGAAATCAAACATTCAATCGTAGTTCTTTCATTTGATTGGCCTCCTTCTTGAACGAGAAATGGATCTGCAATGGCACTCACTTCATTTGGTAAAGCTGACTCCACAAATTTGTGAAGATTCAAACCTCCTTTAAACATGTCAGCAGTAGGCCTCTTCCTCGTAAACATCTCCAACAAGAGAATGCCATAACTATAAACATCACCTTGTGTTGAAACCTCGCTTCCCAGTCCATATTCTGCAATTGTTAAGTTAGAACTTGTAAAAGAATAGCATTGTAATCCTAGCAAGTTGAAATTTCCTAAGATAAGCAAGTTGAAATTTCCTAAGATAGAAAAAGAAAAAAAGGAAAAAGAAGAAGAAAAACCACCTACCTGGAGGAGCATAACCAATAGTTCCTCGCAATCCAGCAGAACTGGATTGATTAGAAAAATTATTTTGAATGCTATGTGAAAGGAATTTTGCCAGCCCGAAGTCACCAATATGAGCAGTCATTTCATCATCGAGAAGAACATTGCTTGGCTTGAGGTCGCAATGGACTATTGGAGTCCCAGAATGATGATGAAGGTACTCAATTGCAAAAGCAACATCAATTGCAATATTTATTCTTTGAATTAGAATTCTTTTTGAATTTAGATTTAAAAAAAACATTGTATCTTTCTGCATTCCATTTAACCGCGACAAAAAGAGATGGATTGCAACCATTTCTCGAGGACTGCCACTTGACCATGAACTCATAAAACTAGTGCCATGAAGTCATTGCCTTGATTGTCCACACCTGAACATTGCAGTTTATAATCTTCACAAGGATTTCGATGTCTGGATATTCCTCAAGGCTTCACATATCTTGCCATGAAAAACTCTTTTAGCTTGCACCATTTTGAAGTGGAGGTTTAAGCACCTTGCCATGAAACTCTTAGCTGCACCATGATAGTGGAGGTTAAGCACCTTAACAGCTACCGTTTGACGGCCTTCAGTAAGAATTCCTTTATACACAGATCCAAAACTGCCACTACCAATTAAATTAGCCAACGAGAACCCATCAGTGGCCTTATGGAGATCGTTGAATGACACCTTCGGAACTTCAAGAAGAGGAACTTCTGAACTGGATGAAATAGGATTCTGTCTTTCCTTTTTAAACCACAAAAGAAATACAAAAGACAACAACACCAAAATTGCTCCTGGTATTCCTGCTATTGTAGCAATGATTACCTTTCGTATCCTTTTGTTAGATCTTTTGACATGGCAAATAGGCAGTTGGAATTCAGGTATTCCTCCGCATAGCTTGCTGTTTCCCATAACTGAACTAATGCTTGCATTCTTGAAGACTCCATCAGTAGGCACTATCCCTTCAAAATCATTGAAAGATAAGTTCAAGCTGACCAATGAATTAAAACTAGCCAAAAATTCAGGAATTTGTCCGGACAAATTGTTGTGAGAAAAATCCAGTTTTTGAAGACCTCTCAATGAACGGAGGGAGAAAGGAATAGAACCTTGGAAACGGTTCCCGTTCATGTATAGGTACTCTAGACTTGTGCAGCTCCCGAGACTTTTTGGTATCTCTCCTGATAACAGGTTGTCGGAGACATCCAAGATACCTAAGGCTTTCAAATTACCGACTTCTGTTGGAAGGGAACCGGTGAAGTAGTTTTTTGCAAAACCAGCATAAATTGACAAGGATGAGAGGCTAATAACTTGTGGAGGTAAGGTACCACTGAGATTGTTTGCAAAAAATTGCAGCACTTGCAAAGATTGACAAGGATGAGAGGCCAATAACTTGTGGAGGTAAGGTACCACTGAGATTGTTTGTAAAAAATTGCAGCACTTGCAAAGATGTGCAGTTACCTAGACTTGGAGGAATGGTACCCTGCAAGTCATTATTGGAAAAATAAAGTTTACTCAACCTTGTGAGATTTCCAAGAGATGATGGAATAGGTCCGAAGAACTTGTTCCCACTGAAACTCATTATCACTACATTTTGCAGATTTCCGATTGCTTGGGGTATCATACCTGAAAGGTTGTTGTTCTCTACTATTAAAAGCAACAGGTTGACCAGGTTTCCAATACTAGCTGGAATGCTTCCAGATATATGATTTTCATATAGATAAAACATTTCAAGATTGGATGACAAGTTGCAAATGCACTCAGGTAAGGACCCTCCAAAGTTATTGCTGCCAATATTCAACTGCTTCAAATTGCTGGCATTAGTCAAAGAACAGAGGAATCTCAAATCATCAACTTCTCCATTTCCAAGACTATTTAGACCAATTAAAACATCTCGAATGTTCAATCTCTCTAAGGAAGGCACTTTTCCTGTGAGATAGTTTTGCTGCAACACGAGATAGACTAGACTGGAAGCATTAGATATTGAATTAGGAAGGGGACCAATAAATTGGTTAACAGCCAAACTCAGGAATTGAAGATTTGGAAGAGAGGTGAATAAATCTGCTGGAAGAAATCCTTCAAAATTGTTGAGTCCTACATCCAAAAGTGTAATAGCAGAAAGATTGAAGATTGAGGAAGGGATAACGCGAGACAAATTATTCTCTGTGAGGATTAAAAAGTTAAGTTTTTTAAGTTGTCCTATAGCATCGGGAATATTTCCAACAAAATTGTTTGTAGCCATAGAAAGAGCAGTAAGAGAAGAAAAGTTTCCAAGAAAAAGAGGTATTGATCCTGTTAGATTGTTATTATGTATATCAAGAAACTGAAGCTTCAAGAGACGGCCAAGCTCGACAGGAATGTTTCCTATCAGATGGTTGTTCCAAAGACTTAAACGAATAAGGTTAGAGCACCTAGAAATATTGGATGGGATCTCACCAGTGAGTGAATTATTATTTACGAATAGTCTTTGTAGTCTTCGCAAGCTACCAATTTCAGGAGGAATATTATGGGTGAAGCTATTGTTTTGAAGGTCTAGTACCTTTAGAAAGCTCAAATTACCAATGTATGGGGATACGGTGCCCGCAAGTTTTGAGGAATTGAGGTCCAATTCTGTGACCCTCTGGTGCCGGCGGCTGCAAGTAACCCAGGAATATTATGGGTGAAGCTATTGTTTTGAAGGTCTAGTACCTTTAGAAAGCTCAAATTACCAATGTATGGGGATACGGTGCCCGCAAGTTTTGAGGAATTGAGGTCCAATTCTGTGACCCTCTGGTGCCGGCGGCTGCAAGTAACCCCATGCCACTGGCAGAAGTCTAAGGTGTCATTCCATGAGGTCATGACCCCAAAAGGGTCAGCAACTATTCCAGCCTTGAAGTGAAGCAAGGCTAGTTCATCAGTCTCATTTCCAGGAGTTGAGTATGTTCCTGTGACAAACAACAATAGACCAAAAGTAGCATAGATGAAGAAACATGAGCAGAGGTATAAATAGCCCATTGCTTTATAGTTAAAAGGTTATCTCTAAAATGAAACTGAGTCTTTTTTCAATAATTCTGAGAACCGAGGGATTAATGATTTAGCTATTCAGGTCACTAAAGCCCATATTATATTGATAGCTTGGTTGAAATGCAGTAGCAAAGAGAGAACAAATTATATATATTGGTAGAATAAGTCAACTAGCTAAGAAAGATAGGAATTTGGAAAATATCAACTTAGTAGTTGAGCACTTTGGAAGGCTGAGAAGACTACATCTCCATTAAATGACTATTGAAGCAACTCTCGAGAAATTTCTTTATTTTTTCAATTTAATGATAAGTGGGAACTCACTTTGTTGAAATCTTTGTAATTAGAGTAAATATTGTCTTCCCTAATTTAGGTTTGTTCTTAATTAGAATAAATATTATCTTTCCTAATTTAGGTTCACTTCTATTTAGATTACTTCCTATATTGGAACAATCTTTTGTATATATATATATATATATAGTAAAGTAGAGATTGGAAAATAACAACACAATATAGAGAAATAAAACTCTCTCTTTTCAAAAACTACATGGTATCAGAGCCTTGCCGTGAATCTTCGGCATAGGTTTTTTGTCCGCAATTAGGTCTGAATTTCATGTAGCGCCGCTAAGAGAGGAAGTTGGTCATCACCGCCCACTTCAGAAGGAGGAGCAACCGCCAATCGGCCTTCCGGTAAAATCCCGTTGTCGTCCAATCACGCACGTGTGCACACGCGCCACTAGAAGTTTCTAGCCTTTCTTCAAGCGCCGGCGCGTGCATCGTTTTCTGGTTACCTTGCAAAACAATTCTTGTTCCGATGATCTTGTTTTGGTGCAGCGACTCAAACCCACTAGTCACTCAGTCCCATTTTTAACTT